TCGCAATATTTTGTTTGGCTTGCCTTTGAAGCTCTCGAATTTACGTATTCACGTGAACATGTCACGCTTCTTTCCCGTATTAGATTTTGACAAGTTGGCCAATTTACTTGACATGTTTTCCTCGTCGTCTTCCTCGTGGAAGACGCAGTCCAACTTGTCGGGCGGCAACGAAGAAGCCGGGCTCAACCAGATGGTGGTGGACACAACCCCGTCGTAAATTGGTTAAATGGGCTGAAACAGCAGGCGGAGCTGCTGGTTTTGACTGCCTCCGAATTCAAACACTGGACTGAAGCCCACAGAAACCTCCCCAACCTGCTCGTAAACACCCTGTCAATTCATTTATCTCTTCTTCCTCCTCTCTATATAGCCAGCCCTTCACATGCAGTCCTTTACGTGCCATTCCATCGCAAGTAAAACTTCAGCGAGTCGATCATCTTCCGATGGGTCGTTGGGTGAGGCCAGAGGTACGTGAGTCTTCCTTTTCCTTCCCTTCTTCCCCTCCACGCCATGGAGATCGTCTTACGGCGGAAGCTAAGGCGCACCTCCATGCACTCAGGTATAAACACGTGATTGCCAGACTTTATAATCGGCGAGTTCGACCACAACCAATCGAGGCCGGGTAGCTAGTCCTATGGAAAGCAGAGGTGAGCGAACCAACCCTCTCTCGAGGGAAATTGGCGCCTCAATGGGAGGGCCCCTACCGAATAACACAGAAGGTCCGAGAAGGCATCTACTGGTTGGCAACTATGGAAAGCAAAACCTTACGCTAAACTTGGCATGTCAGCAACGTGAAAAGATTTTATCCTTGTAGCATCGCTCGGTCGGAATAACAAACACACAATGCCGAAAGCAAAAAAAATTCTCATTACTATGCAGACTACGACCCGAGCCTAAGGCTCCATACAAAAAAAGAGCCAGAGCTAGAGCCATCATCGAAGGAGATTCGCCCCAAAGACACCTCCATATCTTCAGGCCATTGAGCAAACAGGTCTTCCGCCACAGCCCACTCAGGATGCTGAGTTTGGAAGCGCTAGAGGGCAACGAGGTACTCGTAGCAGTAAGAGTCCCTCTCCATCCTTAGTAGTCCTCGATGGAATCTCTCTTACTCCTTGTATGTGGTGATCGCTCCCAGCTCCCGGTCGCTGCTTCGCTCCTCCTCTATAAGCTTCTTCGCTTTCTGTGCTAGTCATAGGTACCTTACAAGTCAATCATGTTAGAGATAACATGTGTGACTTGACACAGTTATTATTATTATTATTTGATATTTTATAATTTTATATTGATTGTTGCATAAACACATGTATACTAGTCATAGGTGCCCTGTAAGATAATCACGTTAGTGATGACACGTGTGACTTGACACATAGTCTCTTTGCTTATTATATTAAGGTATTTTATCACTTTATATTGATTGTTGCATAAACACATTTATATATTGTGATGTCCTTGGATATTTGCAACGAGAATTGGATCGTAATGAGATCACGATAATGAGACCGATTCACCTTTAAACACAGACTCTAAATAATCCCGATCATAAGTTACTCGAGAGGGACATCGAGATAACCGGACAGATTGGTATGCTGTATACCCATTCGTATGATAGATGCAACTGGTCTCATAGCTGCTCGTATGGCGACACTAGGGATACAGTAAAGGTGCTCATTGGGGAATGAGTTCACTGATTGATCCGTTTATGGAATACTGAATTGTTGATGATGCCTTATTGTCAGACAACGATTTCGTAGTCCCAGTGGTATATCTGGTCCTTAGACTTGAGACACCAATGATATCATGTATGAGTACTCCACTCTTTGATGTCGGACTTATAGGTCTAGAGGTTCCAGATCTAGCACAGCCAGTCATCGGAAGTGGTAGTCAACTTTACAATGACTATTGAGTGTCAATAAAGGATCATCAACTCTCGGTGTCATGAGAGTAATATCTCATGTGTTCTTGCTTAGACAAATCTCTGGCTAAAGGCATTCGGATTGAGAGAGAAAGAGTTCTCCAGGAGAATCCTATTAGAGCGAGACTCGAGTAAAAATCGTATGAGTCTGACAGTACTATGCCCAATATATGGTCTCTAGGATATTAGATGGATGAGAGACTGTAGATACATGGTAACTAAGGATAGATAGGTCCAATGAATTGGATTCCCCTATATCATTTGGAGACTGCGACATAGTGGCATAGTATGTCTATAGTCGATGAGTCGAGTGAATTATTATAGAGATAATAATTCATTGAGCCAGAAGGAGTTATGATAGGTCTGACTCACGGCTAGCTCGATATTGGGCCTAGAGGATCACACACATATGATAGGCATTACGATGAGTAAAGGTTTAGATATAAGATATCCGCCGAAGCCTCTATCTTATCATATATCCAATAAGCCCTTGAATTATTGGATCCTATGGATGAGATCCAATAAGAGCCAATAAGAGATTATTGGATAGAGATCCACTAATCTAAGAGGCTTGGGTATGTTGGATGGAGATCCAATACCCAATAGGGTAGGATCCATTATGGTTAAGTTGATAAGGGACCTCTATAAATAGCAGAGAATCAATGGTTCAAGTAGAGTCTTTTTGGTTTGCCTCTCCTATTCTCCTTCCTTTCTCCTCCTCAGAGCAGGTTTGGAGTTTTGAGGAGCATCGCCGCAACCCTACTGTGTGGATCACCGCTAGAAAGGAGGACGCTTGACCTCATTCACCCTCTCCTAGAGATCTGCAAGGATTCAGAGATATACGATCTCCCTTGGTAACACAACCTTTAATATACGTAGTTTTCTATTTTACGAATTTTTATACACCAATCTTCACAAGACGATAAACATATCTTTAGGAAATTAGGGATTTTGTTTTCTGCTCTTCTGCAGCGCATGTGATATTGCCCCCTAAGATTTCCTAACAATATATACATTGTGATGTTCTTAGATTTGTGCAATGAGAATCAGACCGTGATAAGATCACGATAATGAGACTGATTCACCTTTAAACATAGATCCTAAATAATCTCGATCTTATGTTATTCGAGAGGGACATCGAGATAACTGAACAAACTGGTGTGTCGTATACCTATCCATATGATGGATGTAGTTGATCTCATAGCTGCTCGTGTGGGGACACTAGGGATATAGTACAGGTGCTCATTGGAGAATGAGTTCACTGATTGATCCGCTTACAGAATGTTGAATAGTTGATGATGCCTTATTGTCCGACAACGATTCCGTAGTCCTAGTGGTGGTCCTTAGACTTGAGACACTAAGGATATCCTGTATGAGTGCTACACTCTTTGATACCAGACTTATAGGTTTGGATATTTCAGATCTAGCACAGTCGGTCATCGGGAGTGGTAGCCAACCTTACGAGGGCTATTGAATGTCCATAGAGGATCATCCACTCTCTGTATCATGAGAGAAATATCTCATGTGTTCTTGCTCAGACAAATCTCTAGCCAAGGTCATTCGGATTGAGAGAGAAAGAGTTCTCCGGGAGAATCCGATTAGAGTGAGACTCGAGTAGAAACCGTATGAGTTTGACAACACTATGACCGGTATATGGTCTATGGGATATTAGATGTATGAGGGATTATATGTACATGGTAATTAAGGACAGACATGTCTAATGGATTAGATTCCCCTGTATCGTGTGCAGACTACGGCATAGTGGCCTAGTATGTCTGCAATCGATGAGTCGAGTAAATTATTATGGAGATAATAATTCACTAAGCCAGAAGGAGTTCTGACAGGTATGACTTACGGCCAACTCGATATTGGGCCTAGAGGGTCACACACATATGGTGGGCATTGCGATGAGTAGAGATTCGGATATGAGATATCTGTCGGAGCCCCTATCTTATTGGATATCTAACAAGCCCCTAAATTATTGGATCTTATGAATGAGATCCAATTAGAGCCCATGAGAGATTATTGGATATAGATCCACTAATCTAAGATACTTGGGTAGTTGGATAGAGATCCAATACCCAATAGGGCAGGATCCATTAGGGTTAAGTTGATATGGGACCTCTATAAATAAGAGAGAATTAATGGTTCATAAGCTACAGCTTTTTGATTACCTCTCCTATTCTCTTCCCTCTCTCCACCTCAGATAGGAGTTTTGAGGAGCATCATCGCAGCCTTGTAGTATGGATTATCGCTAGAGAGGAGGACTCTTAACCTCCGTCACCCTCTCCTGGAGATTTGTTGGGATTCAGGGATATACAATCTTCCTAGGTAATAATCTTTCATTTACGTAGTTTTAAGTTTCGCGGATTTTCTTGTACCAATCTTCGCACGATGACGAATATATATTTGAGAAATTGAGGATTTTATTTTTTGTTCTTCCGTTGCGCATGTAATGTCGCCCCCGATTTCCCAACATCATGGGCCTCCATTTTGGAAATTATTGATTCATCGGAACCCATCAGCAACGGGCCCTCTAGCGGGCAACCTCGCTCTAAGGCCCCTTCCAGTTGGTAGTGCAGGTCTCCTAAGCACTGCTTAGCCTTCGCCAAGCATTCCCTAGCTTCTTTAGCTATTGTTGGGCTTGTCCCAATAGGTCGGCTGTCTTCCCAACATGAGCTTTAGTCGCCACGGAGCCCCTCTTCAGCTCCGCCATCTACATCGCGAGCCTTGCGTTCGCTTGGGATAGCTGGCTCACCAGCATCCCAACATCACACGCCCAATCAGCCAGGCTCGTGACATAACGATGGTGCTAAACAGAAAAAGCCGAATTGGTTTCAAGGAGGAAGAAGGATTGGGAAACATGAGCTCTTACCAGGACCTTGTTGCGATAGCACTGATCAACCAGAGACTCGATGGAGGGCTGGTATATCAGCCTGCTCAAAACCGGGCTAAGCGACCGACAATAATACTCGCCCGTGGCCGCGTTGCTCTCCCACAACCTCACGTCCTATGTCAACCCCTCCCACCTAGCCTGAAGAGGAGCCCCTGGGGTTGCAGGAGGATGGTTAGTCATCTCAAGGACCATGAAATCCCCAGGGGGATAGGAACACAATTGACATAAGGATCCAGGTCCCAATCGCCATGATGGGCTAGGGCACGTCAGGAGTTCTAGGCCTGCTTCCGTCGGAAGGAGCAGCTCTCCACACCCTCCTCTAACGAAGAAGGGACACCCGCCCCTGGAACGCTCCTCTCAGTATGCTTGGGCCTTCAATGAGACCACACTAGGACGTCCCTGTTGATGTTGATAGGAAGAGAGGATAGAGATATCAAATAGAGGAAGAGTATGACATGCTTTCAATCTTCTATATTTCTCTTAAGAAAAACACTTTTACAAAATTCAGAAACTCTATTGACTCATGACCCAACATATGGGATTTATATAGTCCCCAAAGATACATTATATTAATTGTATTCAAGATGAATCATTCTCTTTCAAGAAACCCTTTCAAGAACCAATAACCAATTTGACTTGTCCTTCC